AACAGCTTAAAAGACTAGTGCAGTCCAGTCCAGGATTTTCATTTGTATTTGAAAGACCTAATTATAAACATGTATGAGTTATTCTTTTTGATCAACTGGCTTAAGAATAAGGGTGAGGAGGGATATCAATATCTGTACTGGCAGAGAAATGTGTTTAAAGTAGTTTAAATTACATTGTCCATTAGAAAGTGCTCTAACCCCTTTGTGCAGTCATTTTGCTGCAAAATCAATGCTTAATCCATATGAGGTCTATATTTTTCTGTTGCAGCTACAGAAATGTACTATATCTATCTCCATATCACGAAAAGTTGAATTGTTCTCCTCTAAAATCAGTATCGTATTGGCCTTTCTGGAAGAAACCACTGAACAATGAATGAACTTCATGAAAACTTGTCTTGGCGGTTTTTTTTCAAGGAACAAAGTGTTGAAGTTTAAGTGTCATTTGCCAGTGTGGCAACATCATGTTGGGAATAGAGAATTTGGGGTGAGTGCCCCTGTGTTTTGCAACCATTGCTTACTCAATTTCAGTGTTAAGTGATACAAGATGCTGCTTCCTGATGCTTCCCTCTTCACTGAATGTGGGGTTATACAGTGAACTTATTTAGAGTTGCACAGGCTGCTTAATGTCTGTTTCAGTTTTCCATTTATTTATGTGGCGTAATCTTCTTGCTCATCCCCCCACACTGCTGTCACAGTGGCACTTCCCCTGTCTGATATCTATGTTATGCACATGCAGTCATGTAAAAAGATGACTGGAAACCCTTGTTTACATGACCAAGAAGAGAAGAGAAATCTAAGTTGAAGACAAATCAGGGTTTATCTAACCCCAGCCCCGATTACAGAGGCAGGATTTCTTGTTTACATGACAGCTGGGTACTGCAGAAAGCCTGCTGCCTGCAGTTACTAAAAGAGGCAACAATGGGTATTTTTATAATAAACTTTAAATCAAATAATCACTCAAGTCTGGAGCCCACAATGTAGCAATTATCAATGTATATGTGTATAATCTGTGAGCTTTTGTTACATCAGAATGAGCTGTTTGTATCTACAAACGCAGCGGGTCACCTTCCATGGAGTTCACCATGTTGAACCACCATGTTTCTACAGGAGCCTAGAATGGACAAACCAAATTCTGTCTGTACACTGCAAAAACAGCGCTTCTAGAAACCAGCCAGATATTCTTTAATATAATCAAATTTTCCTGTATTGAGTAAATAAAGCTGCCAGTGGGGTAAGCCAGTTTAACTTGGCTATTATTCTTAAAACTAGCATAAAAATCTATCCACTGAAAGACTGTAATGGGTCTGAACAAACTGTAAGCTAGCGGTGCTTATTACAAACACTGAAAACTCTCTCTTAAAATGAGTATTTGAATCACTTCATTTAGCTGAATTTAAGAATTTATATCTTATTAAGATTCATAATTAGCAGGAAATGTCTTTAAACAGCATAATATAAGTGCCTTTGTCTGAAATAAAGGCACCAGAAGCATTCAAACTAAACAGCTGCTTCATTTCTAACACTGGGACGAGACTACTACTGTTAAACTGAGAAGTTGTGCGAGTGTCTTCCTGTTCAAATAAGGACGATAATCTTGCTCCTCTGCTGGGATATTCTGCAAACCATTGTTGGAACTTACTGGTTCAGTCGAGCTCAATATTAGCTGTAATATCTTATTAACACAAAGTTTGATATATTTTATTAAAACCAGATTACTTTTCTAATGCAAAACATGTTTGACTAGATTATTTTTCTTTTTAGACAAAAAAACAAGACTCCCAGAAACACGGCTTCTTTATTTTCTTGAGATTTGTTTTCACAGTGTAGAAAGGGCCTTTTTTTTGTTCGTTTTGCCAGCATAGTTTCTCCTTCGTGCTTGGAATGGGAGGGTGAACGAAGATTGCCACTAAATCCTACACACTGGTCCTTTAAAAGGACAGACCAACACAAAGCTCAGTGTCTGGAACCCTCTCTGTTCTCCCATAGGTTCCATTCTCATCAAACCATTCAATGACCCCTTGTGTCCTGTATGAATGCCTCAGCATTAGGCATGTTTCTCCGTTCATTCACGTTTTTCCATCTGTAAGAGAAAACTAAATGAAACCAGTTGATAACTACCTTAAATGATGTCATACAGTCTGTGAATATAAGTGAAGGAACAGCAATGCCATACGTAGCTCTCTGCACTCTCCGGTGTTACCTGACAAAAAGCAGGTGTGTTTGTTCTTTCTATATTATTTTCTATATAACAGAGCTTTTGCATCCTTCATGCACATTCACCTCGTCAGTCTACGGCTGACGTTATGCTCTGGAGCAGCTCCAGTGTTTAGCCAGCGCTCGCTGCTGACAGATGCTTAATGACATACATGTTCGTTCTACCCGAGCCAAAATGCCCTTTCATGGCAATACATGCACATGTAAGCGAGATTGCGACTTTAAACAGTGGTGAATATAGATGGATAGCCCGTCTTTGGGAAACTCGGTCCTCCCGGAGACCTGAAAGTCCAAATATTTAGTCTCTCCATTGTTAGTCACACACTGTTAAAGCACAAAGTTTGGAAAGTGAATGATAACAGTGACATCCACGCCTAAATGTTCATATCTGCTTTTGTTTGCAGAAGCTTATTTTCCCCTCCATCCATTTTTCCTCTATCTGCTGTACCCTCATATGGAAAGTAAATGCAAACCTCTCCGCTCGCTGCAGTTCTTTGTCTCACTGAGGTTTTGGCTTGCTGCTGTCCCGCTGGTGGTTTTTAGCAGGCCTATCACTCCTCTGACAGGAGGCTTCCTCGTGCATTTGAGCAAAGCCAGGTCTGGAGGGAAAAAAAACCCTCCTGTCTCCTGAATATGAAGTTTGCTTTAGCAACCGTCTATGCACAAACTGTTGTTGGATGCCATCAGCCCATAAACCAGTCTGTGTAGCATCGCCACAAACACAGCCACCCTTATTAAACCATCACCATTTATTTGAAATGTTAACAGAGGTGTCGTCTTTAAAGTGCTTTGGAGAATCAGCTGGCCTTCATCTCAACACACATCACCACTTTGGCATGCAGATTGTTTAGTTAATGGATAATTTAACTGATGAGCAATCTCAGGTTGGATTCTTTTTTCATATTACATGTCGCCCCGATTCTGATTTTGATTATAGCTCGAAAATGATTTACTGCGATTTTTTGACACTTTAATTTTTCATTTCAACTTTTGCACCCAGAAAATTACAGTCAATGTTTGATTATGGTGCCATCTGTCACCATCCAACCATCCATACTACATAATGCATTTAACATTCTGCACGCTGTTGCAGAATGTTTTCCTCCTGGCCTCAGTTCAAGAAGAAGAAAACGTCTAGGTGAGCGGTGTCCTCTGCGGCGGAGACAGCTGCAAAACACATTGATCTGATAAATAAGTTCAACAAAGCTATTACTCTAAAAGGTCTGCGTTTGCTGCATCCACACTTAAAATCAAATTAAGTGCTTTGTTTTTTCTGCCGCTCAGCAAGAACTGTTACCAACACAATGGAATGCAAATCAGCCTACATTTAAATAGAGGGATTTCACACCTTCAGTCTTATCATGGAACGGGGCAGAGCCGGGAGGAGATGGACACTCGGGGCTCAGCAAATTGACTTTAGCCTGCAGTGTGTAATTAGGTTGCATAAAGAAGGACTTCCACAACGTTTGCAAGCACAAACAGAGCTGTATTAGATCACCAACCCCCCTTTGATAAGATAATGTCCACAAGGACTCCTCAAGACAACCGGTTATTGTCAGATAAAACTTGGCTCAACACTTTACAACTTTATTACAACTTGATTTTTACACACTCTCTTCACAGGAATGTATTATTAGTGAGAATTTTATTTGTGAGGCTTCTTTTCAGTGTCCTCAGTAAGTCGCTGTGTTTCCCTGCCACACATTTTGGGAAGCACTGGAATGAAAGCAGGCTGTATACCCAGTTTGTGCCTCTTATCATTGCATCACTCACAGAGCTGAGCGCCGTATTCTCTAAACAACAAACACTGTGCAATCTTTACAGAACCCAGAGGGTAGCTTAGTAAAAACCTACTGCAGTTCTGGAGACCATTGCTGAACCCTCCAAGACTCTTGGAACCATCTGGATGAGTCTTCTGTAAGATAAATACACTTTTATACTCATTTCCCCAGTTGCTCCTCTTTTTGCTAACCCAAACAAAGACTAGCTGGAAATGATATATCTCTTTGCTCAGTTTCTACAATAGTAAAAAAAAAAAAAAAAAAGATTTACATTTGTCTGTATTGATGTTACTTTATATTTTGCAAACAAAACAGTGTGTGTTGCACAAAAAGATAAGATGTTCCTTTATTGATCCCCGTAGGAGAAATTGAAATTTGGCACAGCAGCACAGGGGATGTAGAGCAGAGAGCAGAAAAAGGGTAAAGATACTAAAGAACAAGGAGATATGTCATTTCCTGCTCTACAATCGCAACTCCATGGTTCGAAGATTCTTTTCATTCAGCTTCAGAACAGCAGTACATTTTGTTCAACAACCTTCTGGGTGTTTTTATTCTCAGTGAAAGGATTAGCTCTGTGACTGGAATGTTAGGAGAGGCACAAACTGGGAATATCCTCCTCACACATTGTCTTGTACGGATGTTTCTAGTTAATAATATTAATTCAATTAGGATTTCCTCACTTTACTGGCTGAGAGTTCCTTCATCATCCTCACTGACTGCGCCAGACTTTTGGAACTGGACTGAAACCCAAAGCAGTGCTCCATAATACTCTTTTATTCCGCAAAACTTGCGTATATCAACCACAACCCAGACTGATGGTATATGTGTGTGTGTCTCCTTTTGCAATTCTATGATGTTTTTTAAGTATTTTGTTTGGACAAAGGAAGTACAAGCAGGGGAGTAAAAGGAGGGGTATGGAGGCTCCTGGAGAGTTTTTACACGCTGGGTAATTAAGCTTTTTGACTGACAGCAGAGTGCCAAAAGGCGCAGACGCACTCCGATTGGCCAGAGCGCACTTTACAATCTCCTCTTGTTTCCAAGCTCGCACAGGCAGAGCGCTTCACTTCCCCAAACTCTCACAGGAGCCAGACGCACCAGAGGAGCGCGACGGGGCTGCAGCCAGAGGACACTGCCTGTGGACTTTACCCAAAACCAGAAACTCAACACGATTAACGCGCGTCGACCAGCACAGCTCCGCGTCCCCCCCTCCCCCCCCCCACCACCCCTACATTTGTTTCTTGTTGTTACTCTTTCATTTCTTCATGCAGTGAGCGCCGAGCCGCCGTGTCTGAGCCGCATTCGTTTTATTGCTGCAGGAAAAAAAAAGAGAAAAACATGAGGGCTGCTTCTGAGTCCTTCTGGAGGATGATCCGGCTGGCGGTGACCGTGGCGCTCATGTCAGCGTGCCGAGCGTCAGAGTACGAGTACCTCAGCTGGAAGGCGGACGCGTACAACGGCGGGCGCAGCTACGGCAAGCCTCCCCAGTGCGTGGCCATCCCGGACGACCTGCGGCTCTGTCACAACGTGGGCTACAACGAGATGCTGCTGCCCAACCTGCTGGAACACGAGACCATGGCCGAGGTGAAGCAGCAGGCCAGCAGCTGGGTGCCCCTGGTGCACAAGAACTGCCACCCGGGCACGCAGGTCTTCCTCTGCTCGCTCTTTGCGCCCGTGTGCCTGGACCGGCCCATCTACCCGTGCCGCTGGCTGTGCGAGGCCGTGCGGAACGGCTGCACCCCCATCATGGAGGCGTTCGGCTTCCCCTGGCCGGAGATGCTCACCTGTGACAAGTTTCCCCAAGACGACGTGTGCATCGCCATGACGCAGCCCAACACCACCGAGCCCACCGATACCACAGGTACAGTAGTGTGTGCACGCTGATGGAGGCATATGGAAGTGTGTGTTATTACTTTCCCCCCCAACCAAGAGTCAGCCCGTGCATGCTGCTGCTTATTGTTGAACAGCAGCTGCTGCCCGGTAGAACCACAGTGTTCCACAGGGTTCCACAGGGTTCCACAGTGTTCCACAGGGACATCTGAGGGCTTAGTGCCTGGATCAGGAGCATGTTAATGATAGCTGATGGACAGGTCTTGTCCTCGGCCCCTCATGCTAAGTTAGAAAAAAGTGGTGGTCTTGCATATTTTCACTATGACTGAACTGAACTATAATGATAATAAACTTTATTTGTATAGCACCTTTCATAGCTGAGAAAGCAGCTCAAAGTGCTCCACAAGAGAAGCAGTGACACAGTGGGCTGTTAAAATCAAGAGACAAATGGAGGGATAGAATTAAAGAAATGAAAAGACTAGTATTAGTAAAAAATTGTGGAAAAAAACTCTTAACATATAAAAACAGAATAAAAATGCCAGAAATCAGAAAAATGGAATTTATTCCTCCAGTTATGTGTTCAATTCAATCTTCTGTAAATAGTTTTCAAATTCAGTTTCAAAGTCTTCTCCACACTGCCCGGAATTACAAGTTATATATTATATTATATTATATTATATTATATTATATCATATGCGTTAAGTCTGAAAACACCGTATGCGATTAAATAACTACCGTTGTGTAACTTAAACTCCCTGCAGGTTGCTAAAACCCCCCATATTTCCAGAAGAAAATACAGGGGACATGACCTCAGTGTCCTCAGTGCTAGCAACGGCCCTGCCAGAGCTTAAGCTGCCGTCTTGAATTGCTTGTTGTGTCTGACTAAGAGACCAAAATTCAACTCACAATGAAATAAAACAGAGACAAGCAGCAACTCCTCACAGTGGATTCACCCCGAAGCTGGAAACGGCACACATTTCGCACTTTCTCGCTTGATAAATGACTCAAATGATGAAGCAGTTTATTATTTTGTATGGAATTGAGTTTATATTTGAATCTGCCCGACTACAGCGCAGCCATTTGGCACTTCTTGATATAACCAAGCATTAGCTATCAAACTCAGTTACTCCCTAACTGAGCAAACAAACAGCCACCACTTTTGCCACTGTGTAAAAGTCGACACCCCCGTGCAGTTAAATGAGCTTGAGAATGTTGTTTCAGGGGTGAAGGTGTGTTTACAGATGCAAATCCCAACACAAACAAGCTGAACACGACCTTTTGGGGGGGGAAATCAGCCATGATCCCATCTTAACCCCCCCACACATGCTCCTTAAAGAAAGTCTTATGTGGTTACATTTCCTTTTCAATGTATAATCTGCTGTACAAACTCTGGCTCCGGTGTGAATGTGTAGTTGCTTGCTGTTGACTTGGAGTGATGTTGTAATATTGAAAAAGCTGCAACAGATGGTAGTCATTTATTTCAAGGTGTTTGTTGAACTGGAGGACAATGCTGGGAGGACGTCCAGCAGCGAAGAAGCGAATACCTGCATCTATTAATCCCCCTTTTTTATGCCGCGCAACCACTGACAAATGCATTCAAACTGATGAGAAAGATGGAAAGGTGAAGACAATAATTTGAAAAACACACTGTCCAAATATTAAAATCCAGCCTGGAGGTGAGCGGGAGCCAGCGGTTTCTAAACAAAGCTCCCAAGGACATGGCAACCCCATGGTATGAGGCAGAATCAGACACCTCATGCAGCATCAGAGAAGGGGAGGGGAGGGGAGGGAGGGAGTAACATACTCCAGTAAAATGCTCTTCCAGCAGTAACCCGATGGGCCAAGCTGACAAATACCAGAGAAACCCTGAAAAATGCACAAAAGCCTGGGGAAGATAAAGCCTGGGCTGACTCTGGAATAGTTTTGGTTTGAAGCCTCGGCTCAGCGTCCTTGCCGGTCGCCTAGGTGAGGTGTACGCCAGGGAAGGGAAAGTACAACCACCTCATTCACTTCAACCATTAAATAGAGGGGAATTTCCATCATCAACTTACTTATATTTCAATCTTAAGCCCCAAATACACCACTTGAAGACATTTTTGCTGAACATGTTGGCCATAAATGGGGGGACTGTGGATGTTCCAGCAATTACACAGTCACTCACTGTATTGAACATGTCCCCTGTGTGTGTGTGTGTGTGTGTGTGTGTGTGTGTGAGGAGGGGGGGGGGGTGTTACTGACTGACATGGTGGTATGGATGGAGGCCCGTTTTTCTGAAAAAGACTCCCTTTTCAGGGTAAAGGGGGACCACACAGAGCTCGGCGCTCTCCAGACGTCACCTGTTATCATTTGTTGTCAGCGCTGGTGATAAATAAAGCCGGCGTTCTGCAGGAGGACACAGAGCCGGGCCTGTTTTGAGCCGACCTCGGTCCACTCAGAGTCTCACGGAAATTTCACTTTCCGCCATCGGTATCCTCTGGGAAGGTGGTAATATGCGATCTTGAGGTTGCCAGAGGCCAAATCTCCTCAGCCGTTCTGCTTAATGATTGTTAATAGAGGTCGGCTAACAGTGCTTACCGTGCCACTGCTGAATACAGGCTGGTGATAATTGATTTAAAGGAGAACCAGGCTCACATAGGCAAAGGGGACCCCGTGTGACTCTGTAAACAGTGTCTGTTTTCACAAGCTCTTTACACCTGGGTGTTACTTTCACAAGCCTCCGTTAAACACATGTAATGGACAACTGGCCACGGAGAGATTTGTTTTCCCTTTCCTGACCCTTCTGCTCCATAGATCCACATCCACGCTGTGACATTGAAATGCAGTCGGTTTGAATTAAGTTCTGCAGGACGCTGCGATCGCATTGCAGGTCCAAGTTTGTTTGGAAAGTAAACTCAGCTGTTGGCATGAAGCGATCATTCGTGGTATTAGAAAAAATTGAAAAATTGTGTTGGTAAAATATTCGCAGATATGCCTCTAGACTGAATTACTTTTTGGCAAAAACACATTTTGGCTCTTTGTCTTCGGTCGGGTTTTTGTCTTCGAGCCGGCTATTATTACCTTCTTTTTTTGGGGGGGGAATGTCAGAGCATTCCTTTAAGCTTGGATTGAATATCATTACCATTTATTCCTTCCACATTTCTAATAGTCTTTTTTGTGCATTTAAGGGTGTATATGTTGCTGTTGAGCATTATGGAAAGATCTCTTTTGAAAACTCTCTAAATGTGACAGAGTGAGGAAGAGTGTTTACTGCAGCCCTTAGTTACAGCTGGCTATAAAAGCTGAAGACATTCCTCACTGAGGTCAGGTCATCGGAGCGTACGAAGCCCCAGAGACCAGGCGACTGACACCAGACACTCGATAGGATCTGTGCATGCAGAGAGGGGTTAGGTGTGTGTGGAGATGTGCAGGATAAGTCATTAAGAAATTGAATTTAAGGCAGTGTGGTGATTTTACTTGAACTCCCCTTCATTTCAAATAAGAAATTACTATTTTGCTTCCCTCATGATTCTTTCTTTGTTGGTTTAACCGCATCCCAAATGGGTGGCGATCCAATGTGATGATTCCAATGTAAAGCCATGTGAGTGATTCATTGCTGGTATTACTGAAACCTGCATTTTATATTTTGCCTCTTTTCCACTGATTTCCAAACCATGTCCCTTTCTTTTATCCGCAGGTTACTCTCCCATCTGCCCTCCATGTGACAACGAAATGAAAACAGACGCCATGCTAGAGCACATGTGTGCCAGCGAGTTCGGTAAGCATCCTCCCAGCACACAACATGTGAAATACTGTCCGCGCACATCGCTCTGATACGCCTTGACATGTATCACAGCGCTCCATGAAATCAAAAGAGCAACCATGAGATTGCATCAATAGTATCTTCCATCTTTAAGCTTTAAAACACCCCATAAATTCTTAACAAAGTATGCAAAGCTGCATTTTATTCCCCCTGAAGTGCATCCTGCATCGGACCGTACTTGGCCATTTCCACCTCAGTGAACTCTATGTTCTTGGTTAGTCCCAGTTTTTTATGTAAAAGCTACATTTTTGTCTCTGGGTCAGATGTGCCAGGCCTGTCTGGTTTGGAGGATGATGTTCTGTGACTAATGAATGGGGGTCATTAAAGTCTTTATGTGGCAGGTCCTTGCAGTAGTAAAGTGGGATGTTTGTTCTGCTGTCTGGGTGGACTGTTGTTGCATCTGCACATGGGGGACAATCCACACTACATGTCTTCCTAAATTACGTAGTTATTGATAAACCATGTATTTGTTTTTCTTTAATAACATCCTTTTCAAAAATATATATAAAAAAAATCCATATAGAATAAAAATTTGAAAAAAACTGAACTTTATTTGACCCTTAACCTGTGTTGCTTAATGAGCTCAGTGGATGACACACTCACGCTTACGTACACATACACAGGAATGAGGAAATGAGAAATACTGACTTTGCTAAAATGTGATGCCCTGATGTCTCTGAGCACACTGTGTGTTTGACTTCTGCGTAATGTTACGGGTAATATATATTGGATAATGTAAACTCAAAATTGGTAAAAAAAAAGTAAAATATTGGATCAGTAAAGATCTGTTTATATTGAAAATTCACATTGTACAAGCACAACAGGTCCTGTTTTGTACTCAATGAACAGCCATTCCTAAAATCTACTGTCAGTCTACTCCCATGCATTAGTAACTTTGGTTATTGTTGTCATCTTTGCTAACGCTAAATGGGAAAACCTGCAACGCAAGTCCTCCTCTAGCTGTCAGACCCACAACTTTACTGTTTAGTTTCACTCTCACTGCTTTCATAGTTTGGTATTTTCAGCGTAAAGCACCAAAGAACTGACACAGTTAGAGACTAGCTGGTGAACACACTGGAGCATTATCAGAGACCAAATCAGAGCTAAAAGAGAGCGAATACTGGACTGCATTCATTAGATGGCCAAGAACACCACTCCAACTGAATGATAATGTTCCAATGCCATTTTCCCTTCCTGATACTGATTCCAATACCTTTACATATCACCCATTACCATGTTCCGATTCGATACATGTGCATACATGTGCTCAAGTTAATCCGTTTGTCAGAGTAGAGCGGGCATGGCTTTGCTTTCTTGGGGGGGAAAAGGCCAATGGTACACTGCTGGAAAGTCCCGCTTCAGGGCTAATAATTTACGTGGTATTCGATCGGTGAACAAACACACACTCAGCGATACCCAATAGCGAATTCTAGGCAGTGTCAAAGGAATTTCCTATATTGGTATCGATATCGGAACAACTCTAATGATAATGATGCTTGGTAACTGCCGGATGTGTCAATAGGTTCACCATATCAACTCAAAGGGGAATAATATGTCAGTATTTCTTCACAATTGGTTTCCGCTGGCAGGTTTAAAAACTCTCTGTTTCAACAGCTCTATTTTCCCATTAACAACCACACAGTCATATTATTCATTTTGAAGGGGGTTTCATGGTCTCTAGCGTCATGTGTTTTTTTGGAATCGTATCAAATCTAGAGAGGCATATTGCCGAAAGGAAACGTTAGAGAATTTGTTAAATGCTTGGTAACTGCCGGAATATCAAATATTTCTGGCCAAGTTCGGGAATATTTGGAAATTTCAGAGATAGATCACCTTTTGTGAAAATAAGACACATTCATTTTGTAAGAGCGTCTTCAGTCCAGCTGGATTGGAAACCAGACTGAGCAAACCAAGAAAGAAGCAACATCATTAGCTCATGGGGGCAAATGATTTATGGAAATTTTGAAATTTTTTCATGAGGAACCAAGTGCGAGCATTGAAGGCCTGGAGTTCAATTAAAAACACAAACATCAACTGAAACGCAGTTATGAGGACTTCCTGGAATAATATGCGCATGATGCACACAAGATGCAAGATGTTGGGCTTTCATGTTTTATTCACTGGCTGGGCCAAAACTTGTGGCAGCTTGAATTCCAGGTGCCATGCCGAGCAAACATAGACTGGGTGCACATTGGAAACAGACTTTCCTCCAATTCTCAGAAAAAGTTTAAAGTTACATTTGTTTAACGAATTGCCGTGTTGTTTATGCTGCGGTGGTGGGAGTTGCCTTTTTCAGTCTGCATCCGGGATTGCCAAGAGGAGAGTGGCACATTATTGGCTTGTTTCATCTCGGATAAAGACAGATGTTGTTTTGCTTGCTTGTCATAAGCCCTCTAACCAGCTGACATGTGCGGGATACACAGGCAGATTCAGTATCAGGCTGAGGATGAGACACTTTGCCGCTTATGTTGCAGGTTTGAACCCACAAGGGGCCGGCCTCCTCTGGAATGCAACAAACGTCGCTGCCACTTCGGTGTGGCGCACGAGTTGATTACAGCGCATAAGCTGCTAACGCGCAGCCTGACAAGAGATAGCATCACTGGCTACACCGGCGTCTAGGCTAAAGAGTTGTTTGCTGCTTTTTCCAGTGGGCCGATGGAATTCAGTTTTGGTCTGAGGAGAAAACTGCAACTATAAATATATCTGACATCAGCTGAAGCCAAACATGAGTTAAAGTCTTGTCTTGAGGAAAAAGCAAATATGCAGATGGGAGGGGAACAATCCCAAGCTTTAATCATGACATGTTTTATCCCATCAGCGAGAGATAAGACCATCATCCTGATTGCAATCTGACAGTTTTGACTTTACTGAAAGTGGATGGAAACAGGAGGTAGCAGACTGCCTTAACCACAAAATAGATATGATAGATAGATTTCTCGCTCTTCTCCGCAAAACAGGGGGATGGAATAACCGCGAAGAGGTTTGAGGAATGAATCAGGGAATTGCGCTGAAGTATTTATTAATCTGCACGGACCAATCATGTGTAAAATATCCCCACCCTGGCAGTGAATTAGCATTTTTGTCCACTGAAAACCTCACTTACTGGAAGTTGCGAAAGGTCTGTTCTCACTTAAGGTAAACGTTAAGTGTGAAGTTGTTTTTTTGTAATAGTAGTGTGTCTATGGTTTGATGCCCTGTGTAATTGCTTCCCATCGGTTGCACAAGCGCATTTGACTTTTCCATGTGGTTTGATCCTGATAAAAGCAGAGAATGCCGCCGCAAGACAGCTTTTGACTTAAGGTGGTTGGATGTGAGGTTGTTCTGGCAGAAGACTCTTGTAAGTTGGATGTGCATTTTCAAGCTAATAGATCAGAGTGGCTGTAACAAGTAACAGGTTCTCAGTCCAATGCTGTTAGTTTCTCATGAGGACTGACACTCCCTGATTTCTCTGAAGTCCTGATGAATCTCCTTCTCACAAACACACACACACACACACACACACACACACACACACACACACACACACACACACACACACACACAATATCCCATTTGCGGCACTCAGCTGGTAACAGATTTACAGCTCATCCCACTCAACACTTTGTTCCCACCGCAATTTATCTCCGTGCTTAAGGTTTTACGGTACCTCATTGTCCCAAAAAACTCCAGTACCCTTCAATTAAATCTCCCCTCTGCCTCGGCCAACTCACTTTGTTGTCGTTGCCAAATTGCAGTAAACAACAGGGCAGCCCTGCGCTGGAGGACTGATCACTTCAGCTTATCGGATCAGTTGTGTTTCCATTATGGCGAATGGGAAGCAGAACACACCCTCCTGCTGGGTTTATGACACCCTGGGAGCTAGAAGTCCTGTCTGTGCCTCTGAACCGGCAGAGGAAATAAGGTCAGGGGTCAGGGACCAGAAAAGAAAAGGTCTACAAAAAAAATAGTTTTAACGTTGCATTACTTGAGACTATGCAGAGTTAAGGTTTTTATAATTCTAAGAAATTAAAATCGGCATTTGAACAGCGTACACACTGTGTTCTACAAAATATCTGATTACATGATGGGATCATGTTATCTTTTTTTTTTTTTTTTACAAAGTTCTGTTTTCCAAATGAATGATTCCAAGCTAATTGTAATCAAAACATAGCAAAATGAGTTACTGAGGTTTTTGGTGATGAGATTTGTTGGATATAAAGCATAATGGTGTGAGCTCATTGTATTAAATCAGTGCCTCCCAACCTTTTGTATCTGGTGATCCCATAAAACAAAGCAATTCAACCTCTGACCCTTGTTACTGGGTGCATATGGCTACTGACTGTGATCCGTTTAATCAAACTGTTTTATTTCCTTTCAGTCGTTCCGAAGTATTTTAAAGGCAGTCGTAGAAAAATTTCAGGCCATATACTTAAAAGTAGCAGTACCACACATACAAATGTTTTATCAGCAAAATGTACTTCAAAGTAAAAGTAATTTTAGCTTGTATATTACTTCCTGGTAGTATAATCCAGCAGCACACAACCCTGGAGTCTTAAGAGAAATCTGATGGGTCACAAGTCTAACTCCAATCTGTGTTGTTCTTCTTATGGAATACTGAATGAAAATCACTTTTTGGTGAAATTCTTCAAAACTGGTGTCCTCATAGCCTATGATGAGGGTACATATTAGTAGCTGATATCTTCTATTTTGAAGGTCCACAGTCCAAAAAGACCATCATATTTTAATAGAGGATCACATGTTTGTATGTAGAATCAAAATCTGCGAGGTAACTATAGCAGTCAGATAAATATAGTTAAGTAAAAAAGCAAGACCGTAATCTTTACTGTTTATATGCGACCTTCCATACCTTCGTCACATTAAGATATTTATTGATTTGGGAGAATTTGTTTTATTAATATCTTTAAAGTTCTTGGCTGGTTCAATCAAATCAATTTATTCTCCCAGCACAATAGCTTTGTCCCACCGGTGCAGAAACCATGCCAGCTTACTGAGCTTTAAAGTCCATGTCTGATACGTCCTGTACAAGGAGAACCGGAGCATACAAATGTAGACCACCTACTGGATGGATGTCCACGTGTGGATGCAGGGGCAGTTTCAGCAGACCCTAGCAAAGGACAGGAACGTTAACAACCAAACAGGTCAAGTATTTGATGTTAACGTCTTACTGTACACTGTTGCCGAAGAGATTAAACCCTCAACACGAGGTGCAAAGAAAGTTCAGAGCGTCAAAGGATTATCAGGGATGGAGGATTTATCAAGTCCTTTCAGGGGTGGGCTGGGCCTTCTCTTTTATGACTCACTAATTATGAACGCTGCCCATTTTGATTTCAATGAACACTAAGCCTCCCCATACAGACTGTTTGAGAGACTAGAGACAGGATAAAAGTCTTAATCCCTACCATGTGCACTCTTAATACTGGGAAAAACAGGGCTGCTCTTTTTTAGCACTTCAATCAGCAATGGGAGATACGGGTGCAAAGGTAGAGATGAAACGTTTGGAAGTTTCTTAAAGTGCCAGTCCTAGTTTTTAAAAAAGTGTGTCAAAGGGATTTGGTGTCTAAAACGGTGGAGTAGTTAGAGTTGTATCAGTCCAGATCTTTGCTGGAATGTGAAATGATTCACGCCCAATCAGACTGTTCCCTGCACTGTAGGTCACAAGACCTCATCTCCAACATGAATCAGTGATTTATCCCAACACCGGCTCTGTCAGTTAGATTGGACATAGCGTGCCACGCATTTTTTCTCTGGTGCTGCCGTGTGACAAGGTCGTCTGTGCCGCACAAACCCCACTGTATGTCAGCGGAGAAGGAGAGGACGTAATGTGTGGAGGCATATGGAGATTTGGACCACCAAAGTCTGACTCGTGCTCTGTTTCAGAAGGGGAACTGGAGGAAACAGAGAGATTAGAAGGTTAAATAGAGTTTAGTAAAAGATCAGGAGTATTATGGTCGATCTGAAAAACAGCCCAAGATTCAGAAGGAGGTCAAATCCCAAAACAACGCTGTGCACTGATTCATTAATGCAAGACAATTCTGATTAAAAACATTCAAGCAGCAGCTAATCCTGACCAGGTATGTGGCAAGAACGCTGACATTCAATTTTGGCATTCAAAAAAATATATGGCATCAGTGTTTAAATGCCAATGTTTACTTTTTCAGTTCAGGTTTCTTTTTCAATGCCAGGTTTTATTTTCAATGCCAAATTATGCTGTCCCTGTTTTAGCCCCCCATAACCAGACAGATACAATGCCATTGAATAAAAGACTGCAGGTTAAGGTCACTGGACGAGATAACTGACAATAGATCTTCCTTCATTTTTACTGGCTTTTTGTATACTTTAATTTGGTCTTTGATACCACATATGGCTTTTGGAATCTGGATTTAGTATCAGATATTCTCTGAAACATATATTGGATTATGTATTGGTATTTGATTTGCAACAGTACTACACCTATACACCTCTACAGAGTATAAACCAGACTTAGGCAACAGTTTTTAAGTTTGTTTTTGTATTTTTTAGTGATTTATCAAGAGAAAAGAATGAAGGTGTAATGTAGAGTTTGACTGATCAGTAATCCAGGCTGATATCGGCCGATGGGCTACCAGCTTCTTGACAATATGTCAGTTTACATGTCAGCCAATAAGTGACAAGAAACCGCAGTACAGATTGCCAGAGATTCTGTATGTTTGAGCTTTATTTCTGTATGTCCTGCTCTGTACATGTCCTGGTTGCAATTCTTTAAATAAAAAACGCAAGGGTTTCTTATCAGAACATTTCTATCTGTTTGTGTAAAAGAAAATTACAGTATAGCCAATGTATCATAATCTGGGCAGGCCATATACTAAAAACTAATTTTACAATAACTGTGGGAGTAGGCAGTGTATATTATCAGATATTCATTTGTCTACTGATTTAATATCTATGGGTGTATAAGGCCATTGTGGACTGTCTGCCATTGATCAGGACTGTCTGTAATAACATTGGAATTTCTATTCAGTTTTTTAGGTATTTACTCTGCTGGCTTTTCCTAAAACAGACATTCCTTTCTGTTTCTTACATCAACAATTTTACAGAATTATCTCACAATATATATCAATATAAAAGTACGTTTATCACAGGATATAGAATTTATTCAATTTCACTAACCCCTACAGCAGCGAAACGGCCAGTCTAATGCTAGTCACCTGAAATTACTGAAAGAACTGAAAGATTATGCTAGAAAGTTAGTGCAAAGCTCTAGGGAAATAATTCCACAAAATAATACATTTACATTGACTGATTGTAGTGTAGAAAATTATGCTTGTGATTGTTTCAGTTCAGTGAATAGTGAACCCCTTTTTTATTCACACAACTGTTACGGAGGTTCCCATGAGCAAGAAGTGAATGGTGCTCAATCAGATGGAATCCGTTGCGAGTCAAGAAGAAGCGTACACGCTCAAACCATTTGAGAGCAGGAAAAACACATTGTAAAGAAAAATAAAGGAGAGAAAATACAGTAAATGAAATATTCCAGAGGAGGTGGATCGTTTTACCAAACCGGTATAACTTTACAGAATCCCATTAGCAAACTACTTCTTGTCCCTGAAGACATGGTGCTGACCCGCCACTGATACCCTCTATCATGTTCCATTTTGCTAGCACAGAGCGACACACTGTACATGTCTGGCATTTTGTACTCATAAAATATTAACTAAAGTGTACCAAACGTAACGTGCAAGAACTCATTCACCTTTACACATGAGGTAACTGTTTCTCCCTTTCTCCGCTTACAGCTTTCAAGACCAAGATCAAGGAGGTGAGGCGAGAGAACATGGACCGCAAGGTGATCCTGCAGAAGAGGAAGAAGATGTTGAAACCAGGGAACTTGAAGAAGAAGGACATGAAGACGCTGGTGTTGTACTTGAAGAACGGCGCGGACTGCCCCTGCCAGCAGCTGGACAACCTGGGAAACCAGTACCTAATCATGGGCCGCAAGGTGGATAAGCAGTACCTCCTCACGGGCATCCACAAGTGGGACAAGTCCAGCAAAGAGTTCAAAAAGGCCATCAAGAAACTCAAGACCTACAAATGCCCCGCCTTCGAAAACGTCTTCAAATAATACGACCCCCACCCCACCTCCCTTGGTCGCATCTCATCCTACATATGAACTTGCAAAAGCATTCAATTCCCAAACTTTGCTTTCTGTTGTCCTGTTTATATATCTATATATCTTTGTATATTTACAGATATACTTTGAAATGTCCATTGTTAAGTTTTTAGGTGAATGTGGTGAGTGATGACGCCACAGAAAAGGGTTGGGTTTCCTTTTTTTCTGCTTAAGAAAAGGACATTGTAGTAAGAGCCCTTTCTCACTGAAATCATTTCCACTATATGTATGTAGATACTTTGTTACACTCTTACATTCAACAGGTCAGTGGATTTTTCTTTAGGGAGGAGTTGGACATGTTGGGAAATAAACCTTTGCTTCATTACCGAGAGTAAGATGAGAAGACTGATACCACTCTCATGTCTGTCCAGCAGATGGTTAGCTTAGCCTAGCATGAAGACCAGACGCAGGGGGAAACCGCTAGCCTGGCACCGTCCGAATGTAAAAACCCACACGTTCCGTTCAGTTTTTTGTACAGATTAGACAAAATGAATTCCGTGTTAATTTGTGAGCTTTAGAGCAGCTGGTAGGTAGATTCTTTTGGACGGAGCCAGGCTAGTTGTTTCTTCCTGCTTCATGCTAACAACCTGCTAGCTCTAGCTTCATATTTAGCGTACAACCATGAGATTGGTGTTCTCGTCTCTCCCTCTCCACAAGAAAAATGTTCAACTGTTCTTTTGAATCTCTCTCATTCTGATCATATAATAGTAAATCATGTAATCAATGATTAGACTACAGAATTGGCAGTTGCAGGTAGTTGGAGCTTTAAAGGCCACACTGTACAGAGCAGCTCCACGCAGGGCTCCTGTTGAGTAGACTGACGTATGAGAGAGTGTACTGTCACACTAAAGACTGCACTACCAGCTGATTCGTTTTCTTTATTTCTTTTCTTTTTGTTACTTGAAAAATCTAAAGAGAATCATAACCACCAATCTGGATCATGAGCTAACACGTAGGCCTGTGTGGCAGATTTCCTGATTTCTTGTTGTGCGTTGTCGCCTGACATTTGGCTGAATATTTTGTACCACTTTCTCTCTACATCCAGTCTAACTGCAGTAATCAGTATTCATCGGTAATGGAAAAAGCCCTGTAGTCATACATGTTTATCAAAGTGCAAATATTGCCAACTCTGTGTTCTAGTTTGTTTGCTCAAGTGTCGCTGGTCCGTTTTAGCACTATTTTGTTTCAGATTTGAATGTCAGCGGTGCATTGCTGCCTATTACATGTACATACAAATTTTACATAAATATGGAAAACTGAATGGTGTCTCTTAAATTCTTTAGTTTTCTTTCATGGATTTACAGAGATATGGCAATGCTTGTTGTTCGGTCCATCCACTTCTGTCCAGTGAAGTCATCAACTACAGGATGGATTGCATTGAAATGTGTTACAGACTTTTATGGCTAATGAAAACTAGTGACATTCCCATCAGCCTCAGTTGTGTTAGCAAGATGGTAACAGTAACAGTGGACAGTAACATGCAAATCTGCAGAGAATCCAAAATACTATAGGGCTTGTCATGCCTGCCCAACATAGAATGTTAACATTGTTACTGTAAACATGTTAGCCAGCTGACATTAGCACAATGCCACAATGGCCATTGGGAACCTCGGGCTTCCAGAGCAATGACTTTGAAGTGATTTAATAATGACAAATGTGCTAAATGGTACATGGACTGCATTTAGCAGTTTTCTACCTTAACAAGTTCAAGTTCTTTTATTGTCATGAACACAACAGTTAATTGTACTCATAAGATATAGGAATATAACATAAAATAAAATGTAAAGTTAAATATAATACTGTGGTAGCCTGGTGAGTTATAGTAAAACATATAAACTGTAATTGTGCAGTAATGCAGTATACATAATGAGAACAGAGATAGATAAATAGATACTGTGATAGACAAACAGCTTATAAACAGGTAGTAAGATAAATATACATACTGCAATGTGTACAGGTATTAATAAATATATGAGGTTGCAAACAGTAGTAACCAGGCAGACCCAGTGCAGTAGAATATGTATATGTATGTATGGTACAATAAGTATAGCACAAGTATGGCAGTAGTATCGGTGCGGTAAGAGTAGAATGTTGAAGAGTTCAACAGGCCTGCAGGATGAAGCTGATGTGGGAAGGCTGGTACAGCCAGTGAGGATGCTCTCAAGCTGCAGACCATGCTGGAGTCCACGATGAGTCCGTAGAAATAATCTCCACATCTGAGCACCACCGGCTGTGGGTCATGAGGCAGACACTTCCACACTTGCTCCTCCCTGACTGTACTGTCTGATCCTGGCGGTGAGTGGAGAGTCCGTCTGGAACAATGGAAGAGTCCTGGAGCCAAGACTCCTTGAAAACCACACCGTTACAATTCTTTATGTCAAGTTAAAAAAGCCACCCTGCTTCGGAGTTCATCCAGTTTATTTTCCAGTGACTCAGCATTTTTCTAGAAGAATACTTTGTAGGTTTACTTAGTAGTACTTTTTGTTTGTCTCTTCCATTTTCCACATACAGCAACAGGTAATCCAAGCCATGGATGTTCCTTACTATAATATAAAATAACTGACATATAGCAAAACCTGTGTGGCTTTTTGGTCATCCCATAACAGATGATTCAGTGACTCGACAGCTTCCTGCACTACAGAATATTTTATATCACATTTAATCGTAATATAATTTCAATGGTAGCAATTAAATTAACATAGGAATTATCACCAGGGTCTGAACAAATGAATAAACCACCGTTTCGGTCTTTGCACGTGATGAGTATGAAGTTGTGCATGAGTTCAAATATTTAAGCATCATAACATCATAACTCACATTCAAAACAAGTTAAAAAAAAGTTGTGAACAGATTCAATTTCAACGCCATGATCCTCTCACACATGAACTACTGTTCGACCAGCGGGACACAGCAAGATCACATTACAGTGGGTAGATAAACTGTAAAAGCAGGCTTTGAAAACTTTGGATAAAAAGTCAAATTCATATGATCATTGTAAAATTTGATGTATGTTTTTTTAAACTAGGGAAACATGATCAAATCTGCAGATATCTTACTTGTGTATAAAATGTATGTTTTCCTGTCTTTTATGTGTCACATGGTAATGACATATAGGACATCAGTATGGCCACTGTGTTACAATTGTTTGTGCTTCTGTGATTTGATCTGTGTTTATGTGTTCTGTGCTTTTGAGTTTCTGTGCGTATGTGCTCTGTGTTTATGTGATTTTATCAGTGCTTATGTGCTTTTGTATTTTCTCTTTCAATGTTTCTGATATGCCATCAACCTGCCGGGAACTGCCGATGAAAATGAGCCCGTATGGCTAAATCTGGCACGTGTACATAGTGGATTGTCCTCATGTTAAATAATGTGCATTGTCCCTTTAAAAAAAAAAAAAAACAATTTCAAACTTATTTCAAAGTACCAAAACAGCCAGATTCTGCTTTGACAATAATGTCAAACTGAGAGCCCTTTTAGTTAGCCGTGCCAAACCAGCGTTTTCACGCTTTTTAGAAAGATAAATAATCGCGTTGCCAGATCTCCACACTGAAGGATCTCTCACGCACGCATGTTTTTATTCCCCCCAATCTCTCTGATGATGCTAAATTCTTGTCTGGGTGTCTTCTGATTCAGGTTCATTGTGGTTTCACAGGCTGTTGGTGTCTCGGTATGTGGTGTGGAAACGCTAATCCTGAGATATACATCATTGACAGCGCATGCTGATAGTGAACTTTAATGCTTTCTTAACCAAAAGGCAGCACCGTCTAATCAACTGTCAAACTTAAAAGATTTGTTTTCACAAAGTCTGTGCTGAGGGATATGGTCTCGACACTGAACAGCCACGACTTTCCCATGCTATTTCATTTGATTCATGAACAGTAACACGCAGATATGAACACAATCCAAAGCACCGGCAGAGGCAGCTTGTATTTGAGTAGATTTGAGTAACTCGATGATGAATGTTTTAATGTAAATACTTTTATGAGGTGAAATCTATCATGTCAGTACAACATGGGTAAACAACAAAACATGAAACCAGTCTGTCAATAAAAAGGCTTGTTAAAAACCAGGAAGTATCAAACGGACCAACGTCTTGGCCATCTGGTTCCAGTAATGGCTTTGGTATTGGAAAATATATCTCAGATGTGGACTTTGCTTTCTAATCATTACTTCAGCTGCCTTCAAAAGAGCCCCAGAAAACCCGGGGCCAAGATCCAGCTTTGTCCTATTAAGAGATGATCTGCAAAAAACATCCTGTTGGATTCGTCGTCTCACTGAAAACCTCAAATTGACAAAGTTGATGAAGTACTATTTTGATTGGTTCCACGTCAGAGGCTAGGAAAGTATTCAATTATCCTTCCAGTATTAATACCATACACTTGATTTCAGTCTGTGTGATAACACGCTACTAAGTTGACAATTGGAATGTCTGACTGGAGTTCTCAGTTATATACACCAGGACCTGTGTAAATACCTTCAGCCTGATGAAAACCTGCACTTCCTTATGTTGTATATTGTCTGCTCAACAGCTGGTGAATAATGTAGAGTAAGAAATGTAGCTCCCAATATTAAATGATACAAAATAATATGCTAAGTGCCGAAAAATGTATTATTTTTAGGGGTGGATACCTGTACAAAAAAATCCAATACAACAACCAACCATATACAGTATATAATTAGTGGACAGAGATTCAGCCTAACATGGAAATGTCTTAAACTTGCAATATTTCTAATGGCCAGCAGGGGTAGCTCCATGACTTCTCACTTGATTTATGAGCTCAGTAAACAGTTTCCTAATGAGTTTATGGTCTCAATCTCTAGTCTAAAGTCTTTTTTCATACAGCACGATGTTCATTATGTAAATTATTGTCCATTTAGAATAAAATAGACAATAAAACAGGGTATGCTGTTTGTGTGACCAGTCGCTGCTTCAGACAGGTACTCCGCAAACCAATGGGTGACATAACGATATGTTCACACTTGCAACCAACACCTCTCTGTCTGTCCTAACTCAAATTAAACATTATATACACCATAAAGGCAACATTTGTTGATGGGTGTCCTTCATGTCATTATTTTGGCTTTACAGCCCGCAGTTTTATTGTTTTGATTCACTCTCACTGCCTTCATCAGCATCGTTTCCAGTGAAAAAGACCTACGTACCTACTTGCCCAGCACTGATTGAAACACAGACTTTCATCAAGGTGGACTCCAAAACAGAATTAAATTGAGTGAATACTCGACTTAGATTTGTCAGTTGGACAGAGACACGACTCTAAATAAATGGTAATGTTGCTCTGTGTCTGCAGGATGTGGAAGTCCACTATTTTTCTGTTCATTATTTTTATTGTATGAACTTTTTACGGTGATAAAATGGCAATGTGCTTATTATGAAGCTTATTTGCACTGCCCCCAAGTGGCCAGAAAAATCAGTTAATACAGGTTTTAATGCAAAAGTTCAGAAGAATTAAAAGAATTCCTTAGGCTAGTAGCTGAGGGCCACAGACAGGGAAGGGAAGTCCTGATCAATGGTGCTTTTGGTCTGTTGTAATGTGTTTTTTCTGACTAGAAAAATATAGAATAGTTTGTCTTATCCTTACGTATTCTAACTTAAAATTGTACAGATGTTGGTGTTATTTTGTCCGCACTATTTACAAGTGTACATTTACTGTACAGGTACAGAAGGACTTCCTATTAAAACTTTACCGCCCTGACATTTCATAAAACTGCTTCACAAAGCCTGACCTCTGAGATCACAGTGAATGTTGTCTGTGACTAATAACTCCATACCAGAGGAGGCTCTATTTACCTCTTTCTCTCCTCTGCATTTCAGAGACACATCTGGGGAACTTTTGGATACCACTGTCTATGTAAGATGCAACTCCAAATCCTCACACTTAACAGCCGGAAACAATAAAGTGTTATTAAGACTTATAGTGCAAATATTTGGCAGTAAATAAGCCATCGTAACATGACTTTCTTTTTCTTTTCTTTCTTTTTTTTTCTCTTCACCAGGTCCAAATGTTTTGTTTTATGGATCTCTGAACCATGGCTGAGCCTTTAGGTTTTAAAAAGTGAGGCACTTCTCTGTTCTTAATCCATGTATGTGCCTTCAAAGCGGCTGCCATTTTCCTAACTGCTGTAAAGTCATCCATGTATTTAATGGTATAGCTGTATTCTCTGTTTTATGGTGCACCAGCAGTAGCCAGCAACTTAAAAGGGTAATTTGGAGCATTTTGTACAGGCAGCTCAGTCAGCCAT